TAAACCCTGTAGTTTGCAGATCAGAATCACATACTGCTTTGGGTTTGCCAGTGTATTTGCCTTTCCTGGAAGGACTCTCTCCAGAGCAGGCCTCGTGGTAACGAAATCCCTCAGCTTTTGTTTATCTGGGAGTGTCTTGATTTTGCCCTCATTTTTGGAGGATAGTTTCCTGGATTTAGACTTCTCAGTCGACAGTTTTTTCTGCCATCCCACAGCTTTCTGGCCTCTGAAGTGTGGCAGAGAAATGGGCGGGTAATCTTATAAGGATCCCTTGATGTGATGAGTCACTCCTTGCTGCTTTGGACTTGGTTTTTGACAGTTTTCTTCTGTGTCTTGGTGTGGGTCTCTCTGAGTTTATTGTACTTGGAGTTCAGTGAGCTGCTTGGATGTGTAGATTCATGTGTTTTGTCAAGTTGGGAGAGTCATTTCTCAGATACTCTCTCTGCCCCTCTCTTCCTTCAGGGACTCCCACTGTGTGTCCTGCCATCTCTTCACTGGTTCTTTTCTCTGCTCAAAATCTGTTAACCCCTTTTGTGGGTTTATTTCAGTTGTATTTTTCAGCTCCAGATTTTTTTGGTTCCTTTCGATACTGTTCGTCTCTCTGCCTACATGTCATTTGCCTGATAGACTTTAGTTCTTTGTGTTTCCCTCCAGGTCCTTACGCATATTTCAGCCATTTGTTTAACTGAAGTCTTCTATCAGTCCAGTGTCTGGGCTTCTCCCAGGTGGTTCTGTTGGGTTTTCCTTTGAAGAGGCTGCGGTTCCTTTGCAGCCTGGCCCCATGCTGGGGCGGCCTTCACCACCAGGCTGGGTGTGTTCGGAGTCTAGGGGCAGCTGTGTACAGGCTGCTCCTGGTTGTCTTTGGTTCTGCAAGAGTCTCACCCCAGCTCCTCCTCAGGTCCTGGATGGCCTATTGTGTGTGTCCAACCATAACCCCTTGCCCCGCTGCAGCCTTCATGAGCAGCTCCCTTTCCTTCCTGGTGATCTGAGTTGGGCAAAACAGAGACCAGTCCTCCCGGCAGCCCCCAGCTAGGCTGGATGAGGTCAGCCTGCTCCTCACGTGGCTTTGCTGAGTGGTGCTCACTTGGTTGCTGTAGACCTGATTTACAGAACTGGGTTAGCTCAGCTGGTTTGTAGTGGTTCGCTTGCTGTTTTCACAGGGATATGAGCTTGGAGCTTCCTAGTCTGGTACTTTGCTGATGTTGCTCCAACTCTTTTGCTCCAGTTTTAAAGTTTAAACTACTGGATCTTTTCCTAAATGGCCCTGGTTCTCTGGGTTTCTGCACACCTGCTCTTTGCACCGCGCTCAGCAGGCCGTGCTCTTCCCTTCCAGGGCCCGTGCATCTCTCCAGACTTTCTGGCAAGTGCTTCAGCCTGGTGGAGTCCACGTGAGTGAGGGCAGGGGCAGGCGTGGCCAGGGCCTGGGACACCCCCTGACAGCGCTGTGCCCCCAGGTACAAGTACGAGCTCTGCCCGTTCCATAACGTGACACAGCACGAGCAGACCTTCCGCTGGAACGCCTACAGTGGGATCCTCGGGTGAGCGGCGCTGGGGGTGGCTGCAGCTCCACCTGTCCATCGTCCACCCCCACCCAGCCTCACCCACTCTGCCCCTCCCCAGCATCTGGCACGAGTGGGAAATCGCCAACAACACCTTCAGGGGCATGTGGATGAGGGACGGTGACTCCTGCCACTCTCGGAGCCGGCAGAGCAAGGTGGGCTGGGCAGGAGGGTGGGATTGGGGCCCGCTCCCCCCATCCGCTCACCAAGGTTTCCCACCAGGTGGAGCTCACCTGTGGCAAAACCAACCGGTTGGCCCACGTGTCTGAGCCAAGCACCTGTGTCTACGCACTGACGTTCGAGACGCCCCTCGTCTGCCACCCCCACTCCTTGTTAGGTGGGCGCCGGGGCCGGCAGGGGGCACTGGGGGATGTGGGGGGCAGAGGGGCTCCACTCAGTCTGGTTTCTGTTGGATTCTCAGTGTACCCGGCCCTGCCCACGGCCCTGCAACAGAGGTGGGATCGGGTGGAGCAGGACCTGGTGGATGAGCTGATCACATCCCAGGTGAGCGACAGGGCGGGCGCCGCCTGGGCAGGGAGCAGTGCAGCTGCAGCAGTGCTCCCTCCTCGTCCTCCACCTGCAGGGCTACGAGAAGTTGCTCAGGGCGATTTTTGAGGATGCTGGTTATTTAAAGACCCCAAAGCAAAGTGAATCGGTGCAGCAGGAAGGAGGTGCCAAGGGCCTGGTGTTTCAGACGCTGGAGAGCTGTAACGAGGTACAGACAGTGCTCCCGGGCCCGGGACCGGCCTCCCACCAAGGGCCTGACTGCTCCATTTCAACTCCTGTTCTAGGCTCATAAAGCCCTGTCAAAGGAGATGAAAAGACTTAAAAGCATACTGACCCAGCACGGCCTCCCCTACGTGAAGCCTGCAGGTCAGTTGTGCCTGGGTGTTGGGGCTGAGCCCACTTTGGGACCTGCCGCCCTGCAGGTCAGGTCCTGACCTCCTGCCGCCTGGTGTTTTGGCAGAAGCTTCCAGCTCTGAGCACTTGGGTCCCAGGACACCCACGGACAAGACAGCAGAGCTGCTACGAGGCGACCCTGGACTGCGTGGGAACACCCTGTGATCTGGGGCAGGAGGAACAGGGCCACAGGTTACAGCCAGAGGACACCTTCCTGTTCCTTCTGTGCCAGCAGGCTCTCGGGGTTGTGTGCAAAGATGCAGACAAAATAAAGATTCAAAGTTTTAATTAATTTCCCTACTGATAAAAATAATTCCATGAATTCTGTAAACCATTGCATAAATGCTATAGTGTAAAAAAATTTGAACAAGTGTTAACTTTAAACAATTCACTACAAGTAAATGATTATGCATTATAAATACTACCTTCTGGGTTAAGAAAATTCCATTCCAATAACATTCTCCTCTAAATACTCAAAACAGACATACAGATTGGGGCTTCCATAAATTAATCTACATGAAGCATCCACACTGAGTCATGGTCTTCTGCTGACCACAGTTACACAAATGGTGTGACAATGTAACATCACTGCTAATACTGAACACTCAGGAGCTGACAGATTCGGCAACAAGAACGGCCTCGCCGAGCACCACGCAGCTTCAGCTGCTACACCCAGCGCCCCCCTTCATCACCTGACTGCAGGGCGGTGACACCCTGAGACGCCGAGCCTGGCTGAGCCCAGCATGGGTGGCCCCTCAGAAAACCAGGGCCACCACAGACAGGCAGCAGGGGTGGGAGGGCCCCGAGGTAGCCCCGGGAGCTCCACTCCGGGTGGTTCTTTGGTCTTCCCACCACACACCTGTCCTCAGAGCCAGCGAGTGCCTGGGAGGGGGCGCCTCCAACCCCCACCCCGAACCCCACAGAAAGAACTGACCGGAATAGCTTATAAATACACCTAAAGCTTAATTGTTCTTGCTTATAATTTGAAAATATCTAGGCTAGATGTCAATAACAAACGTCCTATTTTCCCCCCAAAAGACCAAAGGCCTGAAATGGGAAACAAGTGCATAAATATTAATAAAATAAAGAATTTTAAACCGTGATAGCAGTAGCACAAAATATACGTAATTTCTAAGAGCTAATAAATCATTATCAGTATAATTAGAAACAAAGTAGATTCACTACAACCAAGTCATATAGTTACCTTTAGCAGCGGGCAAGCTGCACGATGCCATGGACCCACCTTAAAAAATGACAGCTTTCCTATCAGTTTGTCTTATGTTAAAAAAAAAAAGGTCTTAAACTTCTCACTATAGTAAATACATTCTAATTTGGTCACTGATAAAAATTTTTACCTAGTCACCTTGCACTTAAAAAATGCTATATAAAGTCTTTGGCACAGCCCCAAGCAGGGGGCATCCTGTCCCTTCCGGGCCAGGGCCCAGCCCCTGCTCCGCACCTGGAGGCAGACTCTGGGAAGATTCTCATGCCAATCTGGATCTGCCACGAGCAAAGTCTGGGTCAGCTACAGACAGGTTTTACTTCCTCCCAGATTCCTAGGGAAAGTGACCCAATGCAGACAGAAAAGACTGAAGCCGGCACTAAAATCTGACCCATTCCCAGCAGCCTTTCTGCCACCCAGCCCCCGCACGGCGGCCAGGTCCTCCCCAACCCCATGGTCCCTCGAACATAACACCTGCACAAACAGATCTGGTGCAGTGTCGCCCTGGAGGCTGGCTAGGGTCTCCCACATGGGTGGAGAGAGGCTTCAGCCAGGACGCCCGCCAGCAAGCTCTGGGAAGGGGGAGCACCACACGGCTCTGCACAGTCAGTATGACGCCCGTCCCGTCGGGTCCCCCACCCCACTGCCCTCCTCACTGTCACCGCGCTGACCAAGTCCAGGGGAGAAAGGACAGCACGCAGCTCCTTGGCTTTCCTAGGCGCAGGCACTTGAGCGGGAGGCCGTAGGCGCGGGGCACTGTCACTGACGCTCCAGTTAATGTGCACGTGTTCAGGAAATGAGTTCCCTTCATAAAATTAAAAACATCTACATGTATGTGTCTCTCAATAATCACTCTGCTATAAATACTATTAGTTTGCACTTAATTTGGAAACTGTAAAAATCCTAGGCATTTCTCACTACTAGATAAATGCTCACTCCATAAGTACTAATTTTAGATATGAAACCTAATGTGTTTACCGTACTATGGATTAACAATAGACCGATAGGAAATACTCTGTTCACAGTACACGTATAAAGCTTCATATTATCGCATATTAAAAACATGAACCTCAAAGCAGCTTATAGCAACTCGGAACGTCTGCCTAAACTCTTCCGTCTACAAAGTGCTTCTCGGGATGTGAACTCCCAGGATCCGGTCACAGTGGCGTCAGGACCACAAACCCCGCAGAGTCACCCTGCCCGCCGAGCCCCCCACAGGGCCTTCAGGGTCTGTGAGGAGAGTACGAGACCGTGGGTGGTCTGTTTGGGGCTGGGGTCCCGACGTCGGTGGCACCAGGAGGCGGGCGACAAGGCGGCCGTCACCAGGGCAGGGGCTGGCCCGCACAGTAGGGGCACTCGGGTGCGCTGGCCGCGCACGGCTCGCAGAGCACACGATGCTGGCAGGGCCGCAGGACAGCGCTGCGGGCCCGCTCCCCGCACACCCCGCACTGCTTCGCTCGCAGCTGGAAGATCACCTGCGGGGGAGACGCAGTCAGGGGGTACCCCGCCCCCACCCAGGCCGGGCCCAGGGTCAGGGTGGGGTGGACTCCCCTGCTGGGGGCCACCCAGGAACGAAAAGATGGGGTGGGAGAGGCTTCACCACGAGACCCTTGGGTGGGGACAGGCTCCCGGGGCCAGAGCCACCACGTGGTGTGGGAAGGGTAGCCAGGCAGGCGGCCACACGGAGGGGCCGGGTCAGGATGGACCCCGACTTGGGACCCAGCCTCCGGCCGACAGCAGCCAAAACCTGGATGATGGTGCCTTGGAGATGGATGAGAGGTGTGCATCCCAACGGCCTGGGCCGTGAGCTGGGGAGGGGACGGTGTTTGAGAGGCAGAGCTGTGGAGCCTTCCCAATGCCCCAGGTTCTAACAAAATGCCCGGGTGTGCAAGGATTTTCCCACTAAGCTGAGGGCAGCGGCTTTCACGCTACACCAGGCAAGGGGGTGACCAGGGACCCTGGAGGGTGACCCAGGGAGGTGCCCCCAGACAACACCAGAGCTCCAGCCGCGTGAGGCAACGTGGCCCCTGTCCACGAGGGCATGGCCTCCAAGAGGAGGCGAGGTGGGAGTGGATGGAAGCTGCTTGGCCGGCTCCCCACCACCTCCATGCACCCCCTCCAGTGCCTTGAAAACGAGACCCAGACTCACCCCATCCACTGCTTCCAAATCGAGGCGCAGCTGACTCTGCAGCGAATGCAGCTTCGGCAGGGGGATGGCGCCGATGTCACCACAGCCGCGCAGCCCGGGGAGCATGGAGGCCAAGCCCCGGCCCTCCAGCTCCTCCTGCAGCCGTCGGAACTGGGCCTCCACCTCCTCCTTCTTCTGCAGCGCCAGCTGCCGGGCGCTGTCAGCTGCGAGCGCCCGCTCCTTGGCCTCCTTGGCCTCCCGCTGCCACGCGTCACAGGCCTGAAACCCAGGGGCCGCAGTGACGGGGCCGGCAGCCACCACACGCGCCTGTCTCACCTGCGCGGCGGCCCCTCCCCAGGCTCACCTGCTTCACCTGTTGCCAGGACTCCTCCCACTGCCGGATCTTCCTCTTGGCCTCCTCCAGCTGCCGCCTGACCCGGGCCAGCTCAGCACTGTTTGGACTCGCGCCTGAAGGGGCCGTGGGGCCAGCATTCAGGATGGGGGACGGGCTGGGAGAGAAGCTGCCAGAGACAAAGTCCCAGATGCTGCCGGGGACGCCATTCAAGCCTGAGTGTGGAGGAGCCGGATGTGAGCCTGCTCTTGTGCTGAGACCTCACAAGCATCTCCCCAGCAAGCTCTGGGGACCCCAATCTCTCCACCAGAAAAGGAAACAAATCCGTTTCTGTGGCTGCATCGTGGAGGCAGCAGTGCTCAGACTCTTGTCCCAGAACCCTTTACACACTTAGAATCTGGAGGACCCCCAAGGGTTTTTGTTTGCATGGGTGACAACCATTGACATCCATGTGTCATTAGAAATTAAAACAGATACTTTAAAATATCAACTCTTTTAAAACAAAACAGATCGCATAACATTTCTCAAGGAAAGAAATTTAAATCAAGTTTCCTGTTTTTGCAAATCTGTCTGGTTCTGCGCTTGGTCTCTGGCGATATCACACCCCCGCAGCCTGCAGGTGAGGCAGGTCTCGCTGTGGTGGTGTCACGAGAGCGGCTCGGGGTCCCAGGCACAATGACACCCCCATAGAGGTTCAGGTGCAAACCCCAGACCCCCTGCCCAGGGCACCTTGCACTGAGCAGCAGACACGGGGACGGGATGGGCCACGCTGTGGCCGCCTCCCGCACCTGGAGCCCCAAGAGCCCCGCTCACCGAAGGAGTTGTAGGACGGGGCTGGGGGGCCCAGCGCTCGGGGCTCCGACTTGAGGGCTTGCGGCTGCTGGGGGGGCGTCATGGCTGAGGAGACGAGCGGCCCCGACAGGGACTGGGAGAAGGAGCCGAGTGGGGAGGCGGACAGGGACGACGAGGACTGCAGGGACGGGGAGCGGGGCAAGCAGCCTGGGATGGCCACGGGCGCCGAGCCCCCCAGCGACCGCTGACCTGCGTGGGGCGGAGGGGCCGGGTTAGCGAGGGGTGGAGCAAGATCCTCTGCCCCAGGAATCCCCCAGCACCGCTCCGAGCTGATGGAGCAGGTGGACACCGGGGGTGGGGGTGCTGGGGGAACCCCCACCCAGAGAGGCGTGGCTGCACCTCTCACTGCTCAGACACTAGGCCCTGCCCGGCCAACCTGTCCATGGGCATGGTGGTCCCAGTACTTTTTGGGCCCCCCAGAAATGGTTTCTTTTAATAATAGAAGAGGGATTTCCCTGGTGGTCCAGTGGTAAAGAATCTACCTTACAATGCAGGAGACGCGGGTTGGATCCCTGGTCAGGGTACTAAGATCCCACATGCCTCAGGGCAACTAAGCCCTCCCGCCACAATTACTGAGCCCGGGCACCTCAACTAGAGAGCCTCCATGCCGCAAACTACAGAGCCCATGCACCACAACTAGAGAGGGAAAACCCACATGCCACAACTAGAGAGAAGCCTGTGCGCCGCAACAAAATATCCCGCATGCCTCAACTAACACCTGACACAGCCAAAAGTAAATTAATTGAATAAATAATAAATAAATCTTTTAAAAAGTAACAGAAGAAGAAAGATAAACTTTTAGGTCAAACAGAATGATTCAGTATCTAATGTTAACACATTTGTCTTCATGCCAATGCAGTGGTTAAACATCTCAGAAGGGCCACGAAGGCCTGACCCCCACCTCTGCAGGGACCTCAGGGTGGGGGGGCAGGGATGGAGACAGGACCCCTCCCACCTTAGAGCCACAACAGAAGGCCCTGGAAAGCACCGGGTGCAGGCACTACCTGTGGGTCCGAGGTCACGGCTGTCGTGCTCCTCCAGGTCCTTATCTGGGGGCACGAGGCTGATGTCGCCGAGGTGAAGGTCTAAAGAGGATCCTGCAGGACAGAACCGGCGTCATCGCAGGGGAAAGCCAGGCTCTCGTGGCGGAGGGGACCCGTCTGGGCTTGGGGCCAATCTACTAGCCTCAGCAACACAGAGCCCTCATCTCACTGACTCAACTTCTAATCATTTGGTAAAATCTGACCAAATAAACATGCTTGACTAGTAAAGAAAATTCCAGGACGGCCACGTCCAGGGGAAAGCAGCTCACGGACGACTCAGGTGGCATCTGCGCTGACCTCCTCAGCCGGGTCACAGCAGAGACCCACATCCGTTCTCCCCTGGGGCACTGAGCTGGGTGTTCTGCTGCAGCCCTCGGTGCCCCCCAGGCCTGTCTGTTAAAGGGACAGGGGAATGGAACATGGCCCCCTCGGCGCTGACCCCACCTGACACTCCCTCCTGGGGTCCTGTACCCTGGGGACCTGACACCAAGCAGGAAGCTGTCTTGGGGTGGCCAAGATCAGGCCTGCCAGCCCCCAAAGTTCCCACAGCCCCACAGGGTCGACTCAGGGAAGTTGTGGCCTGGGAACCGAGGGGAGGGGCTGCAGGAGCTCCTGGGACACAGCGTGGGGCCAGAGAGACCTCCCCAGCACAAAGTCATAGGCAGGTCCGCAGCAAACTGTGGTGACATCGAAGGCATAGCACACAAGGAGCTCTGCCACCTCAGAACCTTTCTCCCCAACCCCCCTCTGGGGTCTGCTCTCCCAAAGCACCCCTTCCAGGAGGCAGGTGAGCCTCTCCAGTGTGGCCCAGTCCCATGCCCCCTGCTGGCCGCAGGGCCCCTCAGTGCCTCATGACGCCTGGTCAGATGCACCAAGTCCCATTTCAAGAGGCCACAAAGGCACTCAACGCCCCCAGCCCAGGGGTGGACCATGGGGACCCTCGTCAGAACTGCCTGCTCTGGGTCAGCCTCCCACCTCTGCCCCTTCCCCAGCTGCCTGGTGCCAAGTGTCAGAGTCCCTGGACAGTGTCCAACCCAATGAGCAGCATCAAATCAGACCCACCCCAGAAAGGAGGAAGCTCAGCTCTGACCACGATCCCCCACCCCCTGGGGCTCAGCCAGACCCCCAGGAGCAGAGGAAGGAGGAGCCGGGAGGCTGGGGTGGCCACGTTTGATCCAAGAGTCAAGAGGGCAAGGTGGGGACTTCCCTGGTGGCACAGTGGTTAAGAATCTGCCTGCAAATGCAGGGGACACGGGTTCAATCCCTGGTTTGGGAAGATCCCACATGCCGCGGAGCAACTAAGCCTGTGCACCACAACTACTGAGCCTGCGCTCTAGAGCCTCAGTGCCTCATGACGCCTGGTCAGATGCACCAAGTCCCATTTCAAGAGGCCACAAAGGCACTCAACGCCCCCAGCCCAGGGGTGGACCATGGGGACCCTCGTCAGAACTGCCTGCTCTGGGTCAGCCTCCCACCTCTGCCCCTTCCCCAGCTGCCTGGTGCCAAGTGTCAGAGTCCCTGGACAGTGTCCAACCCAATGAGCAGCATCAAATCAGACCCACCCCAGAAAGGAGGAAGCTCAGCTCTGACCACGATCCCCCACCCCCTGGGGCTCAGCCAGACCCCCAGGAGCAGAGGAAGGAGGAGCCGGGAGGCTGGGGTGGCCACGTTTGATCCAAGAGTCAAGAGGGCAAGGTGGGGACTTCCCTGGTGGCACAGTGGTTAAGAATCTGCCTGCAAATGCAGGGGACACGGGTTCAATCCCTGGTCTGGGAAGATCCCACATGCCGCGGAGCAACTAAGCCTGTGCACCACAACTACTGAGCCTGCGCTCTAGAGCCCGCGAGCCACAACTACTGAAGGCCACACGCGACGACTACTGAAGCCCATGCACCTAGAGCCCATGGTCCGCAACAAGAGAAGCCACCGCAATGATAAGCCCCCGCTTGCCACTAGAGAAAGGCCACGGCAGCAACGAAGACCCAACGCAGCCAAAATTAAATAAATAAGCAGATAAATTTATTTTTTAAAAAAAAAGAGGGCAAGGGGATGAGACTGTGGCTCTGGAACAGAGAGACGCACTCCCAGGGCGGGGGCTGCTGCCTTTCAAATGAAAGACCCTCTACCACACTCAGGGGGAAAAACGGGGCAGGAGACGTGTGACTTCTGAGGAGTCAGGAGCCAGACACATGCAGAGCAGACTTGGGGTCCAGCCCAATGGGCAGCCCCATCCCTTCCCTGCCTGGCCCCCATGGGGACCACTGAGCCAACCACGGGGAGGGCTCCCACCCGATGCTAGCGCTTAGCGGCCCACTGGGGTCCCAGCGCAGCTTCTGCCCCAGGGCGAGGCTACCATGCGCACCCGGGAAGGCGGACGAGGGGGCCCCACGTCTGTTTCCTTCCCTGTTTCATCCCCGCCATGTGCAGACACGACCTGGTCCTGGCCCCACTGGCAACGACAGCCAGGAGCACAGAATGGGGCACAGGCTCCCTCGGCCCAGAGGGATCCCCTGACTGTACCGCACTGTGGGAGGAACTATTTGAAGGGCTGGTGAACACAGGGTGGCAACTGGGCCAGGGCCCCTGGAGTTTCCACCTCTGCTCTGGGGTGTGAGGAGGCCAAAGGAGCTGAGCATGTGACACCGGACGCTGTGGACATCAATGCAGGCCCTGGGCTGGCAGCACCCCAAGCTCCTCAGTCCTGGGGCAGCGGCAGGAAGACGTGAAGCGCTGCTCACAGCGCTGTCTCAACTGTGACAGTAGCGCCTGCACAGCTGGACCAGCCCCGCCAACAGTTTGTGATGCACCCGATGACCACATCCAGGGATGGAGGCGACTAGAAGGTGGCCTGATGCAAGAGTGGTGACAGGAAGAAAAGACCGACCCGAGCCCCTCAGGGAGACAGCGGGGCTGGGACCGTGGGGGCGGCACCCGCCTCTGGCCTGCACAGTCCCCCTTTCCTCCTGGGGGCTCCACTCCCCTCTGTGGGTGCCCCCTCCCGGCCCTGCTTCTCAACGCTTCTTTGCAGCAAGTGCCTCCTGCTCCCCAGGATGCCTCCTCCTGACATCTAGAAGCACGCAGGGCCATTCATGTCCAGGAGCCGCCAAAACCAAGCACCACATACCAGGCGGCCTCAAGCAACACAATTCTACTCATGCAAATCCACTCTGGGGCCAGAGGCTGAGGTCAAGGTGCACAGGGCTGGGCTCCCTCTGAGGCTCCAGGGACTCTCCCTCCAGCCTCTTCTGCTGGCAATCCTTGGCATTCCTTGGCTTGTGGACACACCAGCCCTACCTCTGCCTCTGTCCTCATGTGGTCTTCCCTCCCCTGTGTTTGTGTGTCCAAATTTCCTTCTTATAAGAACACCAGTCATATCAAATTAGGGCCCATCCTAATGGCCTCATTTTACCTTAATTACATCTGCAGAGACTTGTTTCTTTTTTTTGGCAGCACCGCACAGCTTGCAGGATCTTAGTTCCCTATCCAGGGATTGAACCCAGGCCCGTGGCAGTGAAAGCGTGGAGTCCTAACCACTGGACCACCAGGGAATTCCCTGCAAAGACTTGTTTCTAAATAAGGTCACATCACCAGGTACAGGGACGGAGAGTTTACGGCGGAGGCATATCTTTTGGGGAGCACATAATTTAACTCACAACAATCGAGACCACCTGGAAACACCCCCCCCACACACACCAACCTGTCCTCTCCAGGCCGTGCTGTGGTGCTTGAACAGGTGCCTCCCGCAGACCTAGGGGCCCAGACCTGTCAGGACTCCTCCACAGACAGACCTGTCTCCTGTTAATGTGAACTCCACACAGAGGGTACAGCCTCTGGCTCCCACCTGCTCCCCAGGGCATGACCACAGGCCCTGTAGCCCCTCACCCAAATCCACCCCTAGTTGGATGACCCCCTCCTCCTTGCTGTCCCCAGTTTCCAGCTCACTCTTTAAACTGTCACCCCAGCCTTGCCTTCCAGCCCTGCACTGTACCCCCAAACCCCTCTGGTCAAAGGTGGCCCTGTCCCTCTTCCCTCCCCTGCCTGGGGCCACATCCTGGCCCTCCCACCCTCCATGGGAGCCCGGCAGCCCCTCCTGTGCCTGGTCCACACCCGGACACAGGTGACTTCTGCAGTGCTCACGTGCAGACGCCCCAGCCGTCCCCCAGCATGGCCACACTGCCTCCTCCTAGCAGGAGTGGCCCCACTGCAGCATTGGCTCCTTATCAAACCACACACAGGTGCCTCCTCTGAGCTGGTGCACCTGGGCCCACATGCTGAGCAGAAGCCCAGAGGAGCCCTCAACTCCTCCTCCCCTGACCCACACCAGTTAGGGCTCCCAGCTCTAGTAATCTCTGCAGGCTGCCCCCTCACCCCGACCTGCTCTGTCCCAGGAGTAACCTTTCTGTGATGCCAACCTCTTCACGTCCTGAGTCCTGCCTCCCAGAAAGGATGTACCCCTTGGCGAGCCAGTCCACACTCCCCCAGCAGGACCCTTTCCCACCCTGCCCCTCCCCACCCCAGCAATGGCTCCTCCTTTGTCTTTAAGCCATGACACTGCTGTGGGCTACAGCCTGCCACAGCTTCCATTAGCCCCACTAGTCCTGAGAAAACTCCTGCCCAGCCTCCAAAACCCTTCTGAGAATCACCCCCTGCTCCATCCCTGCATGTCACCTGGACTGTGCGGTCCAGCCCAGGCCTGGACCACTGCTGGCCAATGTGCAGACTCACCCGCTGACAGCAAGCACCCTGACCCGCCCACTGCACGCTTGACCTGCCACCACCACCCACGCTCCCTGTGCTGGCCTGGCATATCCGCTCTGCCTGGGGTCCTGAGCTCCTGTCCTGGACATGCTGGTCAGGAGGACCTGACAACATGGACTTAGCCCTTCGCACCTGGAGTGGTGGGATCAGGTTAGGGGTGGTCTGCTTCAAAGCTGGCAGAGTTCCAGAAACATTTTTTGAATAACAAAGGCACATAAAATGAAGGAAGGGATGGACGGATGGATGGAAATAAACTGTGTACAGGAACCTTTTCTTACCTTGAAGTGATTTATCTCATCCCACTCCCCCACCCCCACCCAATGACTCAGCATAAAGGGGCACCCCTGTTGCCCTGCCCTGCTCAGGTGCAGGCAGGGCACAACAGGGGCCAAATCTCACCTGACAAACCACAGTCTTGTGTTGCGGAGGCGGGGATTGGGGGGTGGCGGCGGTCACTGGCGTTCCCAGGAGGTGTCCTGGCCCACTTTTTCACCAGCACTATGTCTCTTATCCTATTACACACCCCACTGTTCACTAAGATCAGACCCAGGTCTTCTGAGATGTTCTCTTAAAGGAAGAACTGACAACACTCAAAATCTATGTGAACCCAGTTAGGTAAACTGTGCCATGTGACCCGGAGCCCGCCTTGCCAAAGTACCAGTAACCGCCCAGATGTTAACAAGCAATTAGCTGAAAGATGCTGAGTAATGGCCCTGGCAAAGCTCGATTCCCGACGTGACACAGCACATTCAAGAGGTGCCCAGGTCCCCAGGACCATGGGACACACGGGAACAATGCACACAGCCAGTGCTCGAATTAGAGGCCAGAATGGGGAACCCCTGACGTGGGGGTGCTCCCCTGCACCCACGGGGATTGGGCAGGATGCCCCCTGGCGGGCTGTCCTTCCCCTAACTAGAGGACGGAGAAGCACCTGGCAAACCCGCTCACTACTGGTCTGAGTTTCCGACAGTGCAGGCGGCGATTCGATTCGCAGCAGGACAAGGCAGGAACCCCGTCCTCCTCGGGTAGCGAGAGACCCCCCTCCGCTAGGCGATGCAGGCTTCCCTGGAGAAGCCCGCGGCTGGCGCCCACGCAGGGAAGCAGCGGGTGCCTCTGCAGAACAGGTTCCTAAAGGGGGGATGTTTGTATTCGCCTCATTCCGCAACCCCGAAGATCTTGGTACCAACACCTGGCTGTCACACCTGGCCCGGGGCGCGGGTACCGCAGACCGGTAAGAGGAGCACCGGGAGGGGAGGGGAAAGATCTGGGGGAGGGGAGGAGGGAGAGACGCACCTCACATGGGAACGGATTTGGCCCACCTGGAGGGACGGGAGTTGGCCCACCTGGGGAGAAAGGAAGGCGCACCTAGCACAGGGAGTTGGCGCACCGCTCTATCTGCAGCTCCGGGGAACGACGACCAGCACCCTGACGGCGCGGGACTGACGATGCTGACTCACCGTCCCGGCGTCCGGCGCCCCGCGCTGCTGCTACTGCTGCTGCTGCTGCTGCTGCCGCCGCCGCCGCCGCCACTGCC